GAAACCATATTTCTCAATACTATTTAAAAGTAGGCTGTAATTTGATTGTTTAGAGCCTAGGCTCTATACAAACCGCACCCTTATCAAAATGCTCTCATTCGCTCAAAATTATCGATCCCATGAGTAATTTAGTCATTTGCTATATTATCTTAAGAGGTAATGAAACTTAATAGCAACACTCTTTACTTAAATACATGATTTCGCTCCTGGAATAATTTTGTAAAATACTTTCAGCTTAAAAAGAGAATAATGAGTTGACATTCTAGGCTAGATAAACTATGTTATTCGCTTATTGACCTGGTTTCTATGCGGCCAAGCCCGCATTTGTAGAAATGCAGGCCTAACTAAATATATTTTTTCGATGGATTTTTGGACTTAATTTTTAAGGACTTGTAATCTCTAACATGGAGATCATGTATATGAAAAAAATAAGTAACTTTTAAAAACTACAAATAGTAATTTTAGTAAAAAAACATTTGGACCGTTACTTCCATTGTTTTTAGATGGAACACCTACTTGCATCCATCTTTAAGATGGATGCTTTACATTTTTAAGACCGCATATGTAGTTATACGGTTCAACCCGCATAAAACAATTTTCCTTCCTTTATTCCTATGTTCGAAAAAGTATAATACCCATAATCACTTAAAGTTTAAAGTAGTGCCCCCAAAAATTTGATATTACTAAAATACCTTTGCAATTACTTGCTCACATTGATGGAATCAGCTGCAAAAGCTTGGAATTGGTCAAAATAGGGTGATAATATTCACAAGGCAGAGTCCCTCCTAATAGTTGGCCACACATTCCAAACTTTTTCTCCAGGTCCAAGATGTCCTCATTTTGATTGATCACCTTATCAAAGCACAAAAACCTTCCCTTAGCTTTATAGTCCATCTTCTCATAGATGTGAACATGAGCTTTAGCAACTTTAGTGACTTCTATGGTAGCCAGCAGTCCTCTCTCCAGCATGTGTCTCCCACCTGTATTTTCACACTTAAATGTAAAAGGTTGTATACAATAAAATTATTTACCTTTAGTATATGGAGATCACAATTAATTTTAGTTATATGATGTGAAATCCGATAGCTTAGATGTGTCACAAAATTTGAAAAAAATTCTTTTGAACTTTGAACTTGGTCAATAGCATAAATGCAACCACCCTATTTCACATGAAATTGTCAAGATTAGTTGTGACCACCTTGTACCAAAGAAAAATGGCCTTATTATATATTATCCTAAATATAATCATGGAATAGTTTTTGTTGGGTTCATATGGCCTTTAAAAGCCTTATGAGTGCTTGTAAAATGAAATGATATAATGGAACACAAACTCAGTGGGAGTGTGGTCCCTCATGGACCATACTAAGCAAATGATAGTTTGCTGATACTGATCTGTGCTTAACGATCCAGGCCAGTCAGTTGGGAAAAACCCATGTTATCTGAGCATGAAGAACAAACGGATGAGGGTTTATGGGTTAGCCCTTGATGAGGTTGGAGAACATGCCTGGATGAGTGAGCTGAGGGACTGTGTGACCCTTGTATGTGATGGTGGCCTACAGAGACAAAGGTCAAAACCTCATTCATGTACCATCACACGGCATGCATATCGATAGATCATTCGGGAAAGCCAGAAATCTATCTTTTAAGGTGAAGCGTATGCATGTGTGAGAGATACCCTTATGTACCATTGAAGCTATGGTCGCATCAGGTCTAGGTGACCTTGACTCGTCTTTAGGAGAGGACATGAAATCCACAGACTGGGATTGCGATCCCTTGGCTCATCGGTCGGACTTTGATGACCTACTAATGAGCCCCTGCTTGGACTGTGGGTCATGAAAAATACTGGGTCGGTCTGATAAAGCAAGTGTGGTCTGTAGTCTATAATTGAAGGTGGAGTACCCCATGATTGTTGATTCTTAAACCATGTGGATCATTTTCCCATCAAATTAATTTAATTGTGTTTGTTTTATGGTGAAAATTATTTTAAGATTATTATTTGAATTTTTATGAACCCCTGGATATTTTATTTATAATTTTTGGATTTATAAAACTAAAAATATTGATTTTACAATTGTTTAAATATTTAAATAATATTCTAAAATATTTTTATTAATTTTAAATATATAAAAATATCATGGGGGCCCATTGTACACATGGGCTCGCCATATTTTTAGAAGGTGGGCCCATGAGTGCCTCCCTTATCCTCTTTCCTATTTTTTGGTGATATGGCATGTAGCCATATGGTTGGAAGATATTAACTAAATATTGACTTGATATATCTTTGAAAGATTTTGTGGAAAGATTAAGTAGACTTATGCTATTTTATGGTATGCACAATATTTGATTAGATTTAATTTATTTTAATTCTATTGATGAGAAAATGGTTTAGGAAAAGGGGATAATGGTTCATGCACCTTCCATAATATTGATGACCCATCTATGGAATGCATGACTCAGATCTCTCACCCCACAAGTCACCATTGATCGACGGTCTATGTTCAATCTCACAAAAAGAGGCAAGCCAAAGAAAACCCTAAGAAACCCTAATATTATTCAAAACCTATAAAAATGGATTGTCTCTACCAAAAAATCTCTACACCTTATCTTTATATTTATCTCTCTTAAGAAAGTTTCTCTCTCTCATGTTTGATCTCTCTCTCCCACATTGTAAAAGAATCTAAGGGTTTAGGTTATAGAGTTATTCTCTCTCCTATCTCTTATGGATTTATGTTTTAGGGCTTAGCAAAAAGAGAATCTATCTCTCTCAAACTAGGTTGCTAAGAGAATTCAATTAGGGTTTGAGTTTATGATCAAAGGAGTTCATGTTCCATTGGTGTGACTTGACCGAAATTTGCTTTTCCAGTTCGAGATTGAAGCTGGACCGTTGATCCCGCGCCATCAGATGGTGGTGACTTTGTGTGGGGTGTAATAAGCCCGATTGAGGTAATCTCCGATACTCTTCATTTTGTTTCTAGCAATCTTATCTTTTATTCTCAAGCATAGTGCATAGTTGTTTTAATGACATCAAGTTGTTAAGATATTTGTTTTATTGTTATATTGATTTTATTTTGAAATTTATCTTATTATAATAAAGACTACATATAAGTGATCTTTTGTCAAAAGAAAGGGGTGAAGAAAAAAAAAAAAGTATTCCCTGAAAAGAGATCACATAGGTCTTTCTTTCAGTTTTTTCACACACAAAACGTGTACATAAAAAGACGAACTTTTGACACCCAATTTTTGAAAGCGCAAAATTTTATGACTAGGGTCATTTTCTCCATTTGTCTATTTAGAGGTGGTAAATACTACGCAATGCCTATAGGCAAAAATGAACAGTGATTTTGCCTATGCTTATCACCGTCTAAAGTTCATCGCACGGTCACAGTTGTTCGGTAATGTTTCAATTTTCATTTTGTTTCTACAAATCGAAACGATCTAAAATTTGGAACGTATATTCATCAAAAATAGGAGAATCTAAAAACAATCTAAAGAAAAATAATTCGTAAAATATAAATCAACCAAAATACCCCTAAAAATTTACGAGGTATTTTGGTCAATTTATATTTTATAAACTTATTTTTTTCATATTTTTATTAGGTACGTCTCACTAAGATATATGTACTCTTTAAATTTCATTTCATTCCAATTTATAATAAAAAAATGAAAAATAAAAAATAAAACACTACCGGAC